ATAGCAGGCAGGATTGCAGGTATACTGATAGGAGATGGCAAGAGCACTGCAACACAATCAGAATAAATAAGAATCAATAGGATTCTGCTCATGCTGGCGGTAAGAAAGAGCAGATTTATTTATCAAATCTGACAGGTCCAGAACTGCAGGATCATCAGAAGTGCTTTCTTTATTTTATCAAGAAATGCTAAATAGGGTATCAAGATCACCATGGCATGCACAAATACCTTAACATCTTCTCTTGATTCATTATATTATACCTGGAGAGAACTTTAAAAGAATCTTGGTGGTAGCTCTGATACTTCTAACATATCTTTTATCCAAGGACCTCAAAGCATGTGCCTGACATCATTAATGAATTAAGTCGTACAACAACCTCATGAAGCAGGTATTATTGTTTACAGAAGAGGAGATTGAAGTATGCAGCACTCTCTCAAGGTCATGTAGGAAGCCACGGGCAGAGCTGGGATGAGAACCCAAATTTCCTGACTCCCAGTCTTGTGCTGCTTCTCCTAGTCTAATTATTTATCGCTCCTATATTGGTAATACCATAGGTGTCAATCCTGGTTCATGTTGGCTATCTCCTGGATAATTATAAAGGAAGATATGTGCCCTGCCCCCAGAACATTTATAATCTATGGTCTATCCTGCAATCAGATTTGCTAGTGATTCCACTGGGGCTCCACATGAGCGCAGAGATCCCTGACACAGATCTGACTGCAGGAGAATCAATGTTCTTATACTGAACTCATCATTTTGATACCTGAATGCCTTACACTATAAAGCATTAAAATCTCCTCCAATAAGAGTGATCTGTTTTACTAGCCTTTTTGTGTTCATTAGAAAAAGAGAAGGGAGAAATGATCACCTATAGAACTCAATGAAAACAAAGTTCAAATAGTGTTCCAGTTTTTAATACAAACAAGTTTGGAGATTCAGGGTGAACGAGTTCAAAATTTTGAAACACATTAGAAAAACAAATCTCCTAAAATAGACAGCAAAGGCATGGTCACTGAGCTATTAACAACTTTGTTGAAATTTTCCATAATTGGTGTCTGCCAGCATTGCCTGTAAGCCGGGCTATTTGTGAGGGTTGCTCAGAAAAGATTCAAATGCTGCCCAGCTGATTAGCAGAGTGCCCACAGCTAGGTTTGTGTTTCTTCTAGTGGTGCATAGTCACACATGCCTTAGTGCACATAAACATTTACTCCGCACATAGATGGAAAAAATCTGCTCTTGGATGGAAAAGATTAGACAGGACATTGGTATCTTCCTCTGGCTGATTTTTTTCAGAATACAACAAAGTGTACAGGAAAATTCCTTACGTTTCTTTAAGTGAATTCTCCAATCATACTACACCCCTGCTTTGTGGGAAAAGAAGAGAAGGTGACGGCCTTGTAGGTCTGTCAACCCAGGACACCATCTAGACACATCATAAAGTACTAGCTTTCTACATGTGATGTTGCCTCTAAGGCTGTGTCTAGACTACATGGCTCCATAGACAGAGCCATGTAGATTAGGGTTGAAGGCAAAGGGAAATGAAGTGGCGATTTAAATAATCGCCGCTTCATTTAAATTTAAATGGCTGCCGTGCTGAGCCGACAAACATCGCGGTAGTCTGGAGGCTCCGCAGTCAACATCAAAGGCATTTGTCAACCTCCCAGGTAAACCTCATCCCAGGAGGCATACCTGGGAGTTCGACAAATACCTTTGATGTTGATCGTGGAGCGTCCAGACTAGTGCGCTGACCCGACAAACAGCTGATCGGCTCAGCGCAGCGGCCATTTTAATTTAAATGAAGCAGCGATTATTTAAATCGCCGCTTCATTTGGGTATTTCTAGTAAACTAATCTACATGGCTCTGGCGACAGAGCCATGTGACTAGCCCCCAGATAAGGAGCCTACTGCTACTGCCATCTCTGAGGATGTAGCTCAAGTAGGAGAGGCCAATGTGTTTAACACTGAAGGGTTAGGTTTCCTAGACCCAGTTTTCTAGGTACGTAATTTATCTGGCAGCTGTGCTGGTTGTCTTCAGCACACAGATTCGTTAGGCTATTGCCCTACTTCAGGCTTCAATCTCTCTGTTATCCAGCATCCAAATAGACAGTGGTTTAGTCAGAATCGAGCTGTAACCTACATTGCTAATGTGCAACTCCCAGAATCCCCTGAGGTGTTTCACAGTCTCTGTAAATTTCATGGAACATCCTGTTGGCACAGAACTTAAAAGAACACTAGGGGACGTGGCAATGCAAGTACTCCAGAAAAAAAAAGGCAAAAGGGGTGCATCTCCTAGAGCCAGATCAGCCTGTGCTAAGGCCCCAGTGCTCTGGGAAAGGAGGTGGGCAGATTCCTGGAAAGTAGAATTACTTAGAAAGCAGCTGGCCATCTCCTGCCACTCCCCCTCTTTGGCTTGGATTGCAGGTGAAGCCTCATAACATGACAACCTTATAGTTCAAATGCCATTAAAATGCAACGCCACACTGAAGCGATAGTGGCTAACAAATTCCAACCTATGATATCTAGACTGAGCATGGTAGAAATTAAAAAGGGTGCAGGAGGGAAAAAAATACAGGCAATTCGCCCAAACTCTTAGATGCCAAATTTTACACCAAAAGCAGCCAATTTGTTGCTCCTTGAAAGATGGGTTTTATAATGGAAACACTAATAGGATTAATTATATAGAAAAGCTATGAGCACCAGGCCTTGCTGTAATATGGCAATACAAAAAGCTAGTATTTCTAACACTGCAGTACTTTAGAGGCTGTATAGGAAGCACTAAAGGTGGGAGGCTTAAGAAAAGGGGAGATGGATACCAATGAGTGAATATTGATTTCTTTTGAGAAATTCTAGTATGACTTCTAAATTAAGCAGCGTTGAGAAGCTTGCGTGAGCAAGGAGTTAAATCATGTTAAACTCAAATCCCAGGACAGAACACCGCTTTTGATTTAAAAAGATATACAAGGATGAGGAGCTTGTACATTCAAAAGAGGTTATTTTATTTCACTCAGAATCATGTACAATAACCAACACCCCTATCAGAAAAGCATTTGCTGCTAGAAAAAAGCAAGCACAGGGTATGCAGAAACAGAATAGATATTGAATGATGTTGCTGAAGCAACTGAACAAACTGATTTAGGTTACTTATGGGGATCCCATAACTGGAGACAAAATTTCTGAACAAAGGGAAGTGGAGCATTTCTTGCGCACACATGCACTCATGCACACGTGCACCCTCCCCCCATTGTTCAAAGGAAGCTCTTCCCTGATTGTTTAGACTTGAACACTCTCCTCCTCATCTTGTACAGTAAAGTAGGAAAAGTCTCCTTTTTCTAGTAACTAACAGCATGTTAACAGTCTCAGCATCCACACACAGTTTGGAACAGAGAGCAAAAGATGGGAGGCTAGGGTGACCAGACAGCAAGTGTGAAAAATCAGGATGGGGTGGGGTGGGAGTAATAGGCACCTATTTAAGACAAGCCCCAAATATCGGGACTATTCCTATAAAATCGGGACATCTGGTCACTAAAGAAGGCTAAGATATACATGCTAAGGGTGCACACACAAGCTTGCTGCTAGGTATTAAGTCAGTATAGGCATAACCCTCTAGTTTTAATGTCCTCTGGTGCTGTTCCTCCGTTGCCAAGAAGAATGAGATGTAACAGTGTGGGTTCTTCTCCCACATTAACTCTGCAAACACTTACATGCATCATCATCACACAGCACAATGTCCAAAGAATTTTTCCCCCTCTAAAGTATGCCTGACTGGTGCCAGCAGGGGTTGCTCTGTACAAACCAGGTGGGTGATTGGTTTAACCTTTTGTTAGTTTAAACAGCAAAAGCTGAAGCCCAGAACTGCTCTGTGCTGATGATGTTCAGTAAGAGAGATTAATTTTAGCTAAGGAAATGCAAAAAGCTCTCCTCTACAGCCACAGCATTGCTTAAATAATCATTTGAATATTTAAAAAATCCCGTCTATGAAATTTGCTATCAAGCCAGTGACAGAGTCAGTGTCTAGATGCATAACCAATGATATTGTCAGTTCTGATTAATCAGCGGTCCTTGCCAGGCTTATGGCCAATTAGAATTTACCATAATAAGGAGGTGACAGCTGGTGTTGCTAAGCAACTGCTGTCTATAGAGCTAAAGAAGCCAGACACATTTAGATGTTACTGAGGATTTCGACAGCAACATGTCAAAATAATACAAGCTTCTGCCCAGTGGAAAATTTTATAACCAAGAACCAGGCACCAAAGTGAGGAATGTATTTACTTTTCAGCATAAATGCAAAAAGGAAAATTTGTTTTAAAGCAGAGTTTAACCAATCATTACTCTGCATTTAATTAAGAGATATAGTGTCAATGGAATATAACTTTGTCACAGGATAATGGTCTCCTACTGGTAGCTAAATGCTGAGAAATGTATAGAAAATTAGCAGTAGGTCAACACTGAAATATTTATTTTCAGTCAGTAGTGTTTATCTTGCAACTACATTCCAGTAACCAATATCTATTATATCCCAGAATTAAGGGGAAAGAGGGGGAGAGGAATGTGTGAAAGAGACTGACAGGTTCATGCCATAAAGTGAGAGGTGCTAATTCTGCAAATATTGAAAAGCCGTGTTCTGATTGGTGGAAAGCATTAACCTTTTCTGTACTTCTTAGTCAACCAGAGCAGCTTATTTTTAAAAGTTTATTTATTTATTACATCTACTATATTTTTACGGGCAAGTTGATTTCTTATTGGAGAAAGTTGTAAGGCCTAATACTCAGCTCTGACCGAACAGCACAGCTGACCTGAAGTCAATAGAGCTATGTTGGTGTGTACTAGCTGAGGCTCTGGCCCACATGGTGCCAATACAAACACAATAACGGGGCCTGAACAGTTTGACAATGACATGTTGACAGTCCTTTAAATATCCCTGAAGTGCAGCAGGAAAGTGCTTGCAGAAGACAAAACATCAGTTGCTTTATATTAGAGCAGTGGCACTTACTGCATCTTACCTCTTTCATTTTTGCAGCACTGAAGGCCGGGGTCAGCATGCTCCGCACATCTTTCCATCTCTGATCCCGCAGACAGAGAATGCTGTCTACCATTGGCCTGGTAACCATGGCTGTAGTCTGAAGAAAAATTAAATGTGACAGGTGTTAACACACATGGTACTAGAACCATTTCATACAATGGCCCGATTCCCATACCCTGCTGATAAATAGTGAATAGTATCTCATTCCATAAATCATCCCATTCCATTCCAACCAAAAGTAGGGAGAAATATTATGTTGTGGCTTTAACATATTACATTGAAATACAGGAGAAGTTGGGAAAAAATACTCTCTTGATCCCTGTATTTCTTCTTCAGCTTGTTCAGCTACATGTCCTGTCTTAGTCTATAAACTATTTCTCAGACTCTTCTGGTTCTGTTATATTTGATCTTTTCCTTTAAGTTTTCAGTGAATCCCAATTTTCTTAAGTCTGTCCATGTAAAGGTGACAAGCAAAGGGAATTGTCACAATACCTTCCAATTTGAAAATGTCTTTCAAAGTCAGGCTCTAATATGTCAGTCTGTTAAATCTAATTTGGGGTTGATTTTTTCTGAATATATAAATGCAATAAATATTTATTAATGACCAAATACCAGTCTGTATTCATCACAAATCTTTGCTTTTTAGCTGTCTCTCACTGGGAGTTTTGAATAAAACACCCTTGTTAGTTGAACATATATAATATTAGTTTAAAATGGTCCTTTTCCCTTTCTTAGGTCCCACAGTGTCCATCTACACTCCGATCATGGTCATTTGCACCAAGATGACATGCAACATCCAGTAAGCTTGTAATACTATATCAGCGATGGAATTCTCCTAAAGAAAGTAGTGCTAGCCAAAGTGGACTAAAGTGAGTTGGTTGTTTAGGTAATGAAGGGGCTGTTTTGCAGGAGGCTTGTTACCCTGCAGAGTTTTGTAAAATATGTATGTGTATTTCATACTTCAAAACATCTAAACTTAAAAATATTTGGTAACACTACACAGCTTAATCAGCTCATCTAAGGCTACACAGACAGCTCTGAGCAACAGTGGGTTGACTGCTAGAAAAAGAGTGCATAGTGGGATACTGCATCCAAAGGAGAGAGTGCAATCCAAGTACAGATGAATGTCATAAGACAAAATAGAATGGACACGTGGACCATCCTTTCCATGTGGCAACAGAGGGGCATTCTGCACATAGTTAATGCTACGGAAGATTGGACAGATACCTTCAAATCATCTCTAAAGTAATTCTTCACTTTTATAGCTTTTATTCTCTGTAGGAGGCCAATTTAAAATAGAACCTTCTTCAAAGTTCATAAAGGTCCTTGAAGGTCCATAAGCCCTGAAAATAAAATGTCTTTCCTCAAGGATTTAGCAAATCATTGGTTTACCACCTCCTGCCTCACCTTGCGCTTCTGATCCACCACAAGCCAACAGGTATGCTGACCCTGCTCTTTTACGTACTTCCCCACAGGGGCTAGCAGACTTGCCAGGCCCCTGGGCCAGTTGAGGGAGGAAGGGGCTCCAT